CAGCGCTGCGAGCGCCGCAGCAGCGGATCGCCCCTGTACGGCTCCATGAGTGCAATCCGGGATGCGCCCTTGGAGCCATGCTTTCGTCGATGATCTTCTTGCAAAAGCAGAACTACAGATTCTGTAATGCACGGGAAAAACAGAGATTGGCCGCAGCTTGTCCACAGGTATGGGGCCTGAGGCGAGCTCAAAACCATCTTTCGGAATCATAATCATCCTACAGTGTCGAAAAACCTGCGGGAAACTGTTGGTCTGCATCCAACGTGCAAGCATGGTTGAAAACTCGCTCCAGTATGCCAACGGCAGATGTGAGACTTCCGCAGCTGTCCACCCATCAGGTCCTGCTGTGCCATGAGCATCATGTCGTGCTTGCATTTGCAATTCTTCGGCTGAAAGACACGCGTGAGAATCAAAAGGCTCACCGGAGGGGGCTGTCAAACGTCCCTCCCATGCCTTGTTGAGCTCCTCGCAGTTCGTAGGTCGATCCCAGACTTTCCTCCAGAATTTCTCGATCATGTTGATTGCTTCTGGAAAAGAAGCGGAAACTTTGCGATGCCTGCCTTGCCCCGACGAAACAGCCGAAGGGAGTAAAAACCTCGAACTGTGAAGCCAGGCCGTGAGAGCTTTGCCATTCTCACGCATCCTATCCCTCCGCTTGCGAATAATCTGTGTCCGCTGTTCCTGCCGCAGCTTGGCCTGTAGCTCGCGAGCTTGAGTCAGGGCGGTATCGTAGGGGCATCTCGCGATGCCGGAAGGCCATGTGCTCGCAATTCTCTGCCGCAGAGCGTGCTCAACCTGGCCGCGCTGCTGCTGCCTCATGGCTTCCCGAAGCCTGCCGATGAAATTATCCACTTGTCGCAGACGGAAAGAGTCATCACGCTGACTTGCACCCTTTGTCAGGCCAGGGTCGGTGTATGGTAACGAACCTTTCGGCCGGCACCCAGAGGCCAGAACAGGATAGCCTAGGCGTTCAGCAGCCCGGACGCAGGCCTCTTCGGCGATGCAGTTGAGCTCATGCCATTCTTCATCAGGACTGCGGGCCGCGGAAGGAGTCCATGCGGTGGCAAACCTTGCAAACTCTTTGGCGACAGCTTGCCGCCACAGCTGTGTATCCACATTGGCAGGCTTATCGCAGCATCTAGTGGGCTTCATCCGAAGGGCACCGGCTTCATGCACCCCCCAGTTGCCCGAAAGCCAGACCAGCTTGTGATCTGAAATTTCGGCCTCGTCATAGTTGATCTTCATGTCGTGGCAGCCAGTGTTGAGCAATCCATAGTCGATGCATCTTTCGCCTTGCCATCTGGATGGCACCAGCGAGAGATCAGAGTCACGAACAGCAATACACTCAGCACCTGCCTGGCTGAGAGGGGCGTCTTCTGGGATATCGTTCCAATCACCCAAAAGGCAACAAGGCATACTAGAGGCCGTAGCTGTGAGGTGCCAAGCATGCAAAAGCTCATCGATAGCTTCGTGATCCACATGCGGTCGCCTCCACAAAAACCCTACGTGACAAGAAAACATGTTGATGAGAACTGCTTCACCAGAGTCATGGATCAAATGTTCCTCACAGGTCGCTCTCATGTCCTCTCTCACAGCGGCTACTATCCCACCAACGGAATACTCCACATTACGTTTGGAGAGTCTGGGGTCTTCTCCAAAGGCCCAGGCGCGATATCCAAGCGTTTGCAACTGCTGTATGAGCCCCACGCGCTCTTGTGGAGCTGCTTTGATTTCACAGATGCCAAGCACATGAGGCCGATTGCGTAGAGTGCTCTCCCGCAACAACTGGAGAGCTCGGTAGGTGCCGGCCAGACCGCCAGCATTGAGCCACATAATGGTGATATCACGCTTAGGGTTCGTGGGCATTGCGCTTATTGAGAGGCCGGCGCGGCTTGGGCTTGGGCCGCTTTTTGCAGTCCATAGTCTGGATCTCCTCCTGCGTCATGGCCAGGCCCTGAGCGAAACTCGAAATCCTGTGGGGGAACTTACGCTTGAGCAGCTTCCACCACTTCTGTCTGCGAGCAAGATTGTATCCACGCCGGCGCTGGCCTGGACATCGGTGGTACAAGCCTTTGTGGTGAAAATTCCACGTCTTGGCGCAGCTCTCACACGCCCAACAGCTCCATGATTTGGGCGTCGCGTCACGAGGGTGAACGAAAGATCGGATCTTATGGGCCTCCGGCGAAGTCTCACTCATTTCAGCCGAAAGCTGCTTCACCACCTTTCTTTTGCTCAAATTGCTAGTTCCTCCAGGATCACCCTGCTTATGGGATTGCTGGGCGAGGCGAGCCCTATTCTGCTTGATGGTTTTCTTCGGTCCCCAGCATGCTCGCAAATGTCGCAAGGCTACCCCATACCTCGCCGCCTTGGTAGAGGGTGGGCCCTTGCGGATTCCTTGCTGGCATTCTGAGCATCTCCATTCACACAGGGCCGGCGGGAGCGGCTCGACAACTGCATCACAGCTTCCAGGGCGAGAGAATCTGTCCCTGGGAACGTTGGGATGTCTGTTCTGTATATGCACAACACGTCGTCGACCCAAAGTCGAGGAATCTGGCGCCTGGATAAGTTGTTTGCAAACATCACAGGGCCATTTCAGGGTTTCTCCAGGAGGAGCAACACGTCGAGGCTTATGCGTCTTCCAAGATCTGCAAACCGGGCCCTCAGCAGTGTCGCGTTGGCCGCTATGCTGCCGTTTCGGTGATCTGGATCTGGATCGAGCGCGCGGGCTCATGGTCGGCTCCCGGGAACGGCGGTCGGCAGATGCCGCCGCCCTGGGCACGAGGAGGCCGGTGACCGAACCATTCGCCCTGCTCGCACCATCACCTTCCGCAGCAAAGTCCGAAAGGCGCGCTGAGCGAGCTTTGCCAGTTGAGGCCCGAGCAGACGAAGCGGCAAAGGCCGAGAGAGGGATTGAGAGACTGCGAGGCGCCCCTCCCTTGCATTTCGGGCCCTGCGATCCGCCAGGGTGAGCCGCAGATCGCTGTCTGAGAGCTTCCTGAACATCCCCACTGAGGAATTCGTAATGCTCAATGTGTTCGTCCAAATAAAGAGTGATAGCATGATCATCGTACTCTTCGCCAGTAAATGCCCAGACTTCACCCGAACTGGTGAGCACTCGGATGTTGCGTCTCAGCGCGCGGCTCAAAGCAAAGCATTCCAAGTATCCACACCAAGTGCCTGCTTTCTTTATGCCGGCCAGGTACTCGTCAAAGTCTCCGAGCCAGCTGTCTGCATCGGCTGGCTTACCAGGGGGTTCCTGACCCCAAAGAGCTTCGTACTCTGCTTTGTGTCGCTCCATGTGGGAAGACATGAAGGCTCGCAGCTGCTTTGCGTGTCGGGGCTTATTCTCCAACTCCGTGAGGGATTGGGCCACGGACAGCAGGAGACAATCTCCTCGTCCTTCATTCGTCACTCGCTTGCCTTTGGCCGGAAACCAAGGCGCCGGCGGAGCAGGCGCCGACTTAGGAGTAGCACTGATCACCTTTTGGCGCTTGGGATCAACAGCTTCATCCATGTCCTCATCGAAACTTTGATCATCAAGTTTGCGAGGGAATCTATCCTCTCTCGGGCAGTGAGCCGTAAACTTGACAGATCTCTCTTGATGAAGTTTAACGCTTCTTTTTGGAGATGTTCTGCGGCGAGCCTCTTTTGTGATGATCATCTCCACATCCTCGTAGCATGGCTGAAGGATTTCCATGCTATCCCCACGCTTCGCGCGGAAAATCCACGCAGCGTGAGTCTTACGCCACTGTCGCTGCTCAAGTTGAACATCCTCGAAACCACACTCTTGGAGGATATCAAAGATGTCGTCGTAGGAGACATGAATGGGCACTTTGTCTGCACACCATAGGCACGGTCTCTCAAGTAGGCGTGTATCGTCAGGCTGCACTCGTATTCCAAGTTGGCGAATACCGCTGACGACGCCATCCTTGGCCATTCGTCTCACCCGCGTCGCGTAGGAGTCCCATCTTTCGCCCTGTTCTTCCTGAATCCATAGAACACGTCGTGGAAAATCCGGCGGTGGGGGCGTTACCGCCTCGACAATCCAGCGCTGCATTTTGTACGGATGCTTGGCACCGCTGGCCCTCAAAAGCGAAAGCACGGCATCGTGAGACTTGATCCTCATCAGTCCCTTGATGGTCTTGTTGTTCTCGATTGCAAAGTCCCACGTGTCCCCCATGGCAGCAATTGCCGAGGGTGTAGTGGCTTGGGCCCATTGCCTCGCCTCCTGTCCGGGATTTTTAAGCATGTTCGGCCACTCATCCCAACTTTGCAGGTGACCAGGAGCAACTAGTCGAACCACAAAGCCTTCGCGCGTCTTGGTAGGCTTTCCGGTAGCTCCTTGGAGCTTGGCAGCAGACTGAACCAAAGGCTTGCGAGTGTTTAGCGCGGGACTGCCCTCTGCAAAAGACTTGAACCAGTGGTTTCGCGCTTGCAACTTGCCTTGCAGGGTTCCGGGAACACGGGTAGTCTGATCGGTAATGTCATTGTCTTCCGCTCCCTTTGGCATAAGCACCGTGGCCATCGGCTTGCGTTCACCTTCACAGATGGCGATTGCTTCTTTGAACTCGTCATACGAGGACGTGAAAACCACAAAAGCATGTTCATCTTGATTCAGGTCTTCCATAGCCTTTGCCAGCTCACGCGGGCCCTCAATGAAGTGAACTTGAGTCGCCCACTCGGATGACCAATCATTGTGTCTCGCTTTCCAAGTGACTTGGTGCCACCTCTGCTGCTGCTCCTGCTGCTGTGGCGGTCTCCACATCTGCTGCTGCTTCGAGGTTGGCCCTTGCTTCTGCTGTCGCTGTGACCACCAGCCGCTCGATGACGGATTGTTAGGACCGTCAGCCCACTTGTACCACTCATCGCGGCCGCCCCTGTCATGCCATCCCGACGATTTGCCGCCGACTTCCTGAGGTGCCGCTGTCCTGTGCTGTTGCGTCTGCTTTGTGAACTTGGTAACCAGCGCCTTGAGTGCTTGTAGCGGGTTCGCTGGCCTGCGCTGAATCAGTTGCTCAAGCGCTGCCCATAGCTGAGACTCTTCATCATTCAGATTTTGTGCTTCATTCTCGTAGGATTGAAGAAAATCTGCCAATCCTTCCACGAGGCTCGGCTTTGCCCCTCCTTTGAGCAAAATCTGGCATCGTTGTGTGTTGCCTTCCATCATGTCCGGGACCCGCGGTCCCACATGCCGGCCTGTCGCGCCGCGTGTCTCGCACGGGCCCTGCAGTCCAGCATGCGATCCCGACACTCCGCAGCATGGTTCATCTTGGTCGCTCACATCTGTTGCAAAGAAAATCGCATCATTATCCTCAGTGGCCGGGACCTGCGGTCCCACATGCCGTCCTGTCGCGCCGCGTGTCACACACGGGCCCTGCAGTCCGACATGCGGTCCCGACACTCCGCAGCCTGGAACCGCACCATCACGCATGGTTCTGGTCTGGCTTGCACACCTAGGCCCTCCTTGCATGCCACGCGCCCTCCTCGGAACCTGAGGTCCGGACGAAGGCCTTCCCGTCACACCGCGCGTCGAGCGCGAGCACTTCTTTTCCGCTTGTGCTTTGTCATGTCCCTGCATGACTGCTGCTGTTCGCGAATCTTTTTCGTCGAAGGTAAATTCGCACCCTAAATAAACCCCATCATCAAGAAGAGAACGGGGATGCTT